TTTGAAGCCGAGAAAAAATACAGCAACTCTTACTTCTATTGACCTCCAGCCCACAGTAGAGAAAACAAAGCTCTTTCAACGTGACTTTGTTATGTTTATTGAATACATTATATTGTAATACATACAGTACTGTATTTGTAAAATATATCGATTACGGTTAGTGCATCCGCTTACGGGAGATTCGACTGTACTCACCAAATTGAGCCAGGAGATCAGTACCATCGAGGAGATGTCCTAACCCTAACCGACGATCACAAACTGACAAAGTCACTCGTTCGCAAATATTAGCCCACAGCCCGAAATATTTAGCCCACAGCCCGCAATATTTAGCCCGCAAACCGCAGCCCGCAGATTAGCAGGACCCGTAAATTGCTAGAAAATTTTATCCAAAATTTAAAATTTACAGCAAGGTTTAATGGCGTTTACACATAACGTAAATGCAATATTTACTTGTCATTTACTAACATAGTGAATGAATCAGTAAATTCGACGTTTTGAGATTTAATCGAGTTTAATTCACGTAAATTCGATATTTCAAATTTCCGTCGATTAAATGTCAGGTTAATTCGATATTTAATACGAATTTTCGTATCTTGAAATTACTAGTAAACTTAAATGTAAATTCCATGTAAATTGCTAGCAAATGTCATGGAAAAAAATCTCAATATTTTTGGCATATATCTACTCAGTTAAGCAAATTAACAGTTGAAAAATCAAGTTCATCAAGTTGCTTTGTTTGCGCAAAACTTTACGTTGAAATCTAATTTCTTGAATATTGTTAAAAAAAGTCTTTTTAAAAAAAATAACATCAGATGTATCTCTAAAATCAAAACCGAACACTTATCATGAAGTACTTCATATGTTAAAAATTGATATCACTGAGTGGCATGAAATTAGTCCTCCTAGCAGTATCTGAAAACTTATATATATCATACAAAAAATAGACAAGCATTTTAGACAGTAAAGATAGATGAATTTATTAGAATACACAATTAAAATGGCTAAATTTTGTTAAAAATACATACTATTTAAGAAAACTAGTGTAATATAGCTAAATTCATAGTGAACTCAATGTTTCGTAAATGATTATAATAATATATAACTAGACGATCAGCGATCGTTTACATGGGCTTCCTGTGGTTTATCCCAATCAGTAAATGATATTGAACCCTAATGAAATTAATATTACTAAGACAACAGCAAAAATAGATTTCCTTTAATGAAAAATAATCAAACAAGCAATGGACTTAGTAGAATTTAATATTATTGTGAAACAAGTAATTTATGTTCGACGAGCCGTTACCATATGTTTCAAAGAGTCGCATCCTGTTTTCCTCAGTATAAATCTGTTGACATGTCTTAGATAAGTCCTTGGTGATTGTAGAGCCTGTACTAGTATAAGTTAGCTTTTGATAAGCTAATGTTTGATAGATAATTCACGATCGGTAGATTCACGATAAATTCGCCGTATCTCACCAAATGCCCTTTTGAGAAACGCTCGAATTTTTTTAGTGTGGCTATGCCGCGAATGGTGCGTGGATTTGTAAAAGAATCTAGCGTATTTGTAGAAGCTAGATGACCTAGATTCGATATGTTCGAGTCATACGAAGGTCCGAAGAAGCACGAAGCGACCTTTGAATCGTTGCTTAGAAACATGAATGACAGTAAGACAATAGATGTCAAAAATGAAAAGGTCCCGGATATAATTTGAAGCATACCACAGACGAAAAACGTCGGTAATTTAAGACATGGTCTTCCTTTGGAAGCCCATGTAATTAGCAAAGGACTAAATCTTAAAGAATAAATACCAATTAATGAATAAATAAAAATAAATGAGTAAATAAATAAAAATGAATGAATAAATATAAATTAAAGAATGAATTAAAATTAATGAATAAATAAGCAGGTCAGAAATTTGGAAGATGAAATTAAAATGGCTTTTTAAATATTCACAGAGCGTTCTCTTGCTGTAATAGCTAGAAGTTGTTCACGTTTGTAGGTAAAACCTGAGGCTATGCATTTACATTTTATACGTTGCACTGGTATGAAACTTGCAGGACCATCTATTTCACACAAAGATTTGCACCACAATTCTACAAGATAGCCACAAAGACTTTTTACATTTTCGTCCACAGCTTGCAGCCAACTAACTTTTGCGAATAAATGTGTCTTACAGTTTCCACTTGAATCAAACATATTATGTAAGGGGTAGTACTGAACTCGCCCAGGGCGTGCACGCGACTCAGATGTTATTCTTCCGCCCAACCCAACCCAGGAAGCCATCACAAGAAATGATCGTTCACTCTTAGTTAGTTCAGAGCCAAAATTATCCCCTGCAAAAGAAACGCACTTGTAACGGGAATATGCTCTTGGGATATCAACTTGCTCGTCTTTGATACTAGGATATAATAGTTGATATACCGCTGTAATATAGCTGTATTCCAAAGAACTAAACACTTTCGTTTGCCGTGGAGGTCGAAGYAGGTACATWTCAGTGTCACACTGCCAATCGTTTTGTAAGTTCAGCGGCGACAATGCATATTTCAAAAGCGAGAGTACATGTCCCAGATCAATACGCCTAATTCCAAAATGTCTGCCGCCCGAGAGGGACTGGCGAGGGCGGCACGAAAACGAGGCATCCAGGGCCAAAACACAAACCAACAACAATGGCGTCTAGCATGAATGCTCCACTTTTCGGTCCTTCTTACTTGTGTGAAGATGATGTTCCTGGTAGTAGTTTGGAGAGAAAAGAACCGAATAGACTTAAGAATAATGAATTGAAGTTTTGGCTGAAATGTCGGGGCGATTCTTTGAAAGGTTTAACAACTAAAGCTCAACTTTGTAAACGGTAAGAGACGAGAAGTGATTATGTCAAATTAGCATATGTTTCACCACCTTTATGTTGCTTCTATAGCTGAAGCATTTCCATTAACTTTCACTTTTTAGTGTCAACGAATACCTACAAGCTGGTTTCGCGCATTTTATAGTGGATCCTGATAAAGATTTCATTTATACGAAGAGAAAACAACGACGTCTTCTTCAAAAAGAAACACAAAGCGACGCCGTCATTGACACCGAAGTCGCACGTGTTCCAAGTACCGACAGTGCGGATTCTGAATATAACCGAAAGCCTAAGTTCCCTAAGTGGCTGGAAAACTTCGCTGGAAAAAAGTCCCACGTTTACTTGTATTGAAATGAAAGAACACATTTCGAAATCTTCAAAGAAACACCCAGAATATACCAGTTCACTGCCTACAGGTCTAGAAAAAGCAAAAGCCTTTCTGGCCAATGAATATTTACACAATATCGAGACAAATCATGATCAAAGGTATTTCTACTACCGTGCTAAATGTTTTCATAGCTTCAAAACTCATGAAGAACCACATACTCTTCAAATTGCACTTTGCATTGTGTCTGGTGAAGTGAAATATGCAAACTGTGGGCCTACCTGTGCTGCAGGAAAATCTGGATTTTGTAATCATGCACTTGCATTGATGTTAAAAATTTGCAAGTACAGTATTTACAACTGCTCTGATGTTCGCCAACTTAATGACGAAGAAGATGAAAATCCAAAGGCAGCCTGTACTTCATCCTTACAAAGTTGGCACAGATCAAGAGGTGATGGGATAAGTGCGCAGCCGGTTATGCAGGTTGTTGTCAGTAACCCTGCAAAGAATGCCGATAAAGAAAAGAAAACAGGAATTGTTTGCTTATTAGCAGAAGCTAGAAGACAAAAAAACAACTCAACWGAAAGGCTCAGAAACCTGATTCAAGATCTAAGCCTGCATGATGCAAAACTTGGACTGACACAAATTGTGGATGTTGAAMATCTTGACAATATGCCAGTTATAGAAACAAGGTTTGGACAGTCTTCTGTTGGGTCATATGGCTCATATCAGCTACAAATTACTGAGTCAAACTTTACTGTGGTAACTTTGTTTAGTGAAACACAGGAAAAATCAAAGGAAATCCTATCTGAATTCCCACATTATCCATCATTACCCATTAGATGAATGGGTCGTTTTATATTCCTGATGATATCAGCAGCGACCAGAAAGAATTATTAGACAATCTTAAAATGAATGTGATTGAAGCAAACCAGCTGGAGGCACAAACAAGAGAACAAGCTGATTCTGAACTCTGGATGAAAGAGAGAAAATTCAGATTCACAGCGTCAAACTTTGGTAGAATTAAGAGAAGGCAAAGAAACCACGAGAAATTTGTTGAAGACTTGCTTGAACAGAAGCAGTTTACTACAACAGCAACAAAGCATGGCAAAGATTATGAAATCATTGCTCTTACAGAGTATGAAAACTATTTAAGGAAGTCTCAGAAACCTGTTAAAGTGGTTTCAAGTGGATTATTTGTTTTACCTAAGATCCAGATACTGGGATGTACACCAGATGCTAAAGTAATGGATTTAAGTGTTGTGGACATTTGGCATTTGTGAGATCAAATGTCCACACAGCAAGATGAACGTAACCCCTAYTGAAGCAAGCACAGATCCAGCATTTTTTATGGAGATTGTTGATGGTAAGCCCAAACTCAAAAGACAGCACAATTATTATGATCAAGTTCAAGGGCAGATGGCTATCACTGGTGTACATTGGTGTGATTTTKTTTGCTACACAAAAAGAGGAATGTCGATTGAAAGGATTTTTTATGATGAAAATCACTGGGACATTGTCTGTGACAAGCTTTGTGGCTACTATTTGGAACATTTTTTGCCCTGTGCAGTGAAAGAGAAGTGAAAGGTAGTGTTATTATATAGGAAAATGCATTTARCAACTGTTATTGTTGAAGTACAAACACTGCAAGTGTGCAGCATTAATACAGCTTCAGTGCTCCATACTGCCAAATTATGCTAATTTTATCAGTCAGTAAGCATCATCCATAAGAATATAGTTGAAACTGTTGAAAAATTACTGTTTGTGCTATTATGATAGAGTGATGTACATATTGAATTGTATAAATGGACTTCAGTATTATTAATTTATATATCAATCAATTTTATTAAGTTATTGACCTGGTTTTAATACATTCGGGGTAACAAATTGTAAAATATTAATATCACTAAAACTAGAGTGCATTCAGTAAATGTATAAAACACTAGTCACTAAACAGTGCAAAATACTGCTTGTTGAGAAAAAGCACAAAATAGTTTCACAAATGTTTTATGCTTTTTTTACTGAATGAACTTAAACACAAAATAATCAGTTACAACAGTAACAAGACAATCGTTTGCATTTTCAGGAAAAAATCCAGTTTAGCCAGTCTGGCATTAACCACTCGACAATGGTTGTATGAAATTGTTGTGCAAAATAGATGTTTGAAATGCTTGAGTGACCATCATGGCCGCCGGACGTGTGTAGTCGGTGGGGTCTTTCTAGGTTGTTATACAACTCAAATGTTAAGTTTTAAGGGATATTGAGGATATAATTAGAAACGTTGTATGAGTAGAATTCGTAGTAGAGACGAAATGTCCTCAAGTTCGTCTCAGGAAGCATCACCTCTGCACAAAAGTCGAAAGGTCGATAAAGACAATAAGGAGCAAGACGAAGCAGGGGCTCCAAGCCTCAAAATCATCTATGAACTGTTACTGGACATGAAAAGCGATATGTCAAAAATAAGAGAAGAAAACTCCTATCTTAAAGAAGGCTTTGAAGAGTTAAAGAAAACAGCAGAGTGGCATGACAAAGATATTGAAGCACTTAAGGCAGAGAACGTTATTTTAAGAAGCGARGTAAAGGACCAAGGCGAGTCAATTAAAAGTCAATCAAATCAAATCAGTGCACTAGAGCAAGCCCTAGATGATCTGGAACAGTACACGCGTAAATTCAACCTAGAAATTCATGGAATACCGGAGAAGAAAAACGAAGATCTTGATATTATAGTGGAAGACCTAGCTAAGGCTATCGGCGTGGAGAGCTTTGAATATGGCGATATCGACATAGTACACCGCCTGGAATCTAAATTTAAACCAAGACCTGTTATTGTCAGATTCCAGAATTACGACGACAAA